GAACGGACTCGAGATGTGTCCACCGGCCGCCATACCAGTCGAGAGCGACGAACCAAGTCGCGCGATCCTTCGGAAGAGCGCGGCAGAGCTTCAGCCAGGTCATGGACAAGGCCAAAGAGATCTCCCACATCCCCGGTCCCAATGTCTCCCGAGGACTTGGCCATCCTGAGCAACCGCACATTCGACAACTCCGTCGAGCCCCTGACGATTCGAAAGGCGAGCGTGGCGAAAGTCAAGGCCAGCGGGCGGACATCCAGCCGCGGAAGAGGTGGATCGGTGCCGCGGTCACCACCGTCACCGGTGCCGCTGTCGGCGACGGCCTTGCATTATCAGGGGTCGGAGGACGAGGAGGACTTTCGAGCGGCCATGCGGGCGCAGGAAGAGTTCAGGGCCAAGCACAGCCGGAGTGTCGGCCACAATGTCAGCTCTCCAGCCGTCAGCCGGCGTGAGCATGCGGAAAGTCGACGAAGAGAAGCGACCGAGACTCGGGAGGTTGCACCGGCGGCCTTGAGCCAGACAGTGCAGCCGCGAGCCGCATCCACCGAGCACGCCGGCGACCTGAAGAAGATGAAGGACGAGAGACAGCGGAAGAAGGAACAGGCTGCGCGAGAGCTAGAAGAGCGTAGAAAGTCTCTAGCGAAGCGAGCTCTGGGTCCCCAAATCCCCCATCCGAGCCAGATATCTCCCGGGAGGCCGCCGATTCTGGTTGAAGCCGAGGACGAGAAGCTGCCGGATGATTTACCGCCTCGCTCTGCAACGGAGCCCCCGAGGACGGCGGAGCCGCCGAGGAGCATGTATGCTCAGAACAGGCCACATATTGGCCTGCCCGCTACCCCCAAGGCGATGAGGCTCATTATCCGGTCGGACGAGAATCAGTATGAGGACCTCCCTGCTCCGCCGGTGCCGGCGACGTTTTCCCAGAAGTATTCGCCGCAAAACTCACCTCAGTACTCTCCAGGATACACTTTGGGCAATAATGTGTATGAAGAGGAGCAGAAGCAGCAGCAGCAGCGATTGCAGCAACAGCAACAGCAACAGCAGCTTCAGCAGCAGTATGAGCAACAACAGCAGCAGCAGTATGAGCAACAACAGCAGCAGAAGTATGAGCAACAACAGCAGCAGCAGCAGCAGAAGTATGAGCAGAAAGAGGAGGAGCCGCCGTTGACGCTGCTGCCATCGACTGTATATCAGCTGCCGTCCACTGTTTACCAGCCGCCGTCTCGCCCCATGATTCCGCGAAGCATGTCAGCACCGATCCCTGAAGAGCCCCTTCGCTCGACTCGTTACGGGAGAAAGGGGAGTGCCAATGAGGGGAGAGGCCTCGACGATATCGTAGAGACGGAGTGGCGTCGGCAAGTGAGCAACCTGGTGCCGCCTCCTCCACCACCTCCCCCTTCGGCGCCCCATACTTTCCTCAAGGAGCTGCAGCATCTAGCCGTGCCGCCCCCTCCTCCGCC